ACCAGGATTTGAACATTACCAATACAAATACGTCGAGTGTGAATGCGAATTCAGAGGAACTGAATTGTCCACCGGAAGCGGAAACGAAAACCCCTTCGTCGTTGGCATCAAATGACAGTAACTCTTGTGGACCAACAATTGCCAATTCAAAGAGACGCTCTGTTAGCGCTAGCTTTACTCCAAAGCGATCAAAAAGGAAGCCGCGGAGCAAATCCGAGGTATTAGAACGCAAGAAATTTTCTCTTGTCAAAACAACTGGTATATACTCTCTTCCTGTCACGAATGGTACAAATCCTGCATCGGTTGATTCAAACAAGCCATGTGATTTAATATCAGTGCGCATGCGTTCAAAGCAAACAGTGAATAACGGGACTGGGGAATTAAACCGCGACGAGTGTCCTGAAGATGAAACAACAATGGACGAATTGACTGTCTTATGTCAATCAAACCCGTCGTCATCGCCACCAGACAAAGACACAACATCACAAAACAATGATATTGGTCTTAGTAATATGTCTTCAGAAAGTGATGCAATTCGTGAAAGCTTTCAAGAGGATTCTTTAAGTGGCTTGGAAATTGTTGTAGAGTCTGACTGTAGCGAGTATGATGAAACAGAAAACCAGTCTAACCAGTCAGACCCGTTTTACTATGTACTGGAAGGACCTAATCCAACATGAAGATACAAATCAGCTTTCTATTTTTTGTTACAATAAATGGATAGTAATGCCTTGAATTTCGGTTTTGAATCGTTCTATCATCGATTCAAACAACACGAATGTTTTGTTCTAAAAAACACAAGAATATAACAGAGTTAGGGAACTGTGTTAACAGTCTGAAGTTCTTCTATTTTAATGATATTGTAAATGTAAGACTTATGAGTTATCTATACTATAATTGCTCAGATTTTGTATGTAAAAAATTCCATTTAATAGTTTCAGGCAACATCTCCAGGATCACCATTTTACTGATTGGCTTACTTAATTACAAAATACGAAAGACGTTGTTTTGATGGCATGAACTTTGTATTTAAAAACTGAAATACATTCTCTGTGTCCTGTGAAACACTCGTTAGTTTCGTTATTTACACACGTTTCGAGTACATCAGTAATATTCTTTCCAGGAGAGGGGACTGGGGCCGGACAGGTTTGGTTTGGGAATTGACCACTCCAGAAAATACCATAACAGACTATAATCCTCTTTGTTTGTCACCCCAAAATTTTGCATAAGCATTGTCTTCAATTTCTCTTGGGAGTTAAAATGGCCCCAAGAGAAACTGAAAACAATGCTTATGCAAAATTTTGGGGTGACAAAGAAAGAGCTTTATGGTATGTTATGGTATTTTCTGGAGCGGTCAATTAACAGGCTTGTGGCCGCACTGACTTCATGAGCTGAGAGGATTAAAGTGCGGGTGTTCTCTTAAGCGCAAACATACAAAATACACCCTGTGAATCTGCTATGATAGGTTTCTCTATTTGCGGATCCTCACTGCGTAAATTCTTATAAGGTCAGAAAAAGAAAACGTTTCGTTGTGTTTTCAATATCGAGCTGACCAATAAAACAAGGGCCGGAATAGTAATACGCTTAAATTTCCCAATGTGGCCTCATTCGACATCAAGCAAACATCACGAAAATTACAAAATTGACCAGTAAGATTGAAAAAGAGATAAAGTGATCACTTAATTATTAAACTGAAATCTTCAAACAGCAATAAAAAGAAATTTCAATACAGTAGTTAGGAGAATTTTTTAAAACTGACAATAAACAGGGTAGTAGCTAGGGGGTGGTCCTGGGGTGGTCCTGGGGTGCCTGTGACCCCCCCTCCCCTCCCCTGTGAGTATGTCCCTGTTATTCAGATGGCCCAAACGCGCGAGTCCGAAGAATCAACATGCAATAAAACTTTTCCAGTGCTGGGTAGATACTTACTCCATTTGCAGGACCGAACATCTACAGTGGACCATGTTCTTGTTCGTAACTAAAATAGAGTAATTTATGCCACGTGGAACTTAATTTATCTATGCATCTATCTTGTAGACTTGTCCCTCCCCCTACGCTCTGTGCTCATCCGAAAAAAAATAGTTACGCCACTGATAAAAAGTAGATGAACTAAAATATCGCTCTGCTGTAGATTTTTGGTTTCGATTGAACGCGAAAGTTTTCTTTGTTTTACGCAGTCACAAGGTACAGACTCTAGGACACTTTCTTCGAAAGACTGTTTCGATCATATCCGCAGCATGAGTTTTCTTCATGTAAAATTGCGAATGGCTGTGGTGTTTTTCATATTAATTTCAGTGGTATTTTTTGATGTAATGGCTAATAAAAAGAAATCGATCAACCGTGGCCATTGTAATCGTGCGTGGAGAAGTGTGGCCACTAGTCGATCAAAATGTCTCAAGAATAAATCTACTGTTACGATTTGGTTGAACAGCAGTGATAGCGGTAAGTAATTATCTCTGTATTGACCCTTTTTTTTCTGCCACTATCAAACATGCTTTTACATCGCTATTCTCTTTTATCAGAATATGAAGGAATCCTTTTGATGTTCAATCAAACTCACTGCGAAGCCTCTCTGCTAAGCGAAACGAAAATCCGAGAGATCACAGAAGCCTGTAATGTGACTCAACGTAAGCAACGTCACCACACAGAAGAACAAGGCGCCCAGATTCCAGTGGATGAGAGACTGCAGGTTACGATCGAAGGACAGGATGAGTCAAGTAGATATGAAATAGGATTGAAAATCAGCTTCAAGGTATCTTTCTTTCTTCATTCTCAAGCTAATTATTATTCATTCAGTCAAAAGCCAATAAATGACCACCATTATGTCAGGTGGATGAATCCTGATACCTAATTAAACATCAGATAAAACAGTACCGGATTTTCATCTGATATGAAACATGTTTTGCATTTGAGATCAAACACGTGCATTTTAATGAGGTGTTTTATTGATTAACATAACTCATGGAAACAATTAAATACCAGAGACGATATGTCACCTCATAATTTCTAATTGTTTCATTTTAGAAGACATGTCAAAAACACAGGCTTCGTGCTTCATCACGGGTTCCTCGGTGTTTGGAACTATTGCTGAAGGATCGCCCTCGTTTTTGACATTTTACATAAATCACTAGGGATCATTTGAAATACTCCTTACAATTACCATGCTACATCTTACAAAAAAATTCCGAGTTTTGTGATGAAAACTACTTTAATTATGTGTGTATCGTGTTTCTCATTTCATATAGAATCGACGTCGCACCACCAAACAGTACAATATACTAACCAGATT